GTCCGCAGACGGCTCCGAGGGGAGCGGTCCGGGCCACCCGTGGCCGTGCGGGGCCTGGCAGGGCTTGGGGGGCCGGGCCGGGCCGGTTAGAGGCTGAGGGAGAGCGGGACAAGCGCTGGCACAGAGGCCCCGGGCTCGCCGTGCCCCCCTGGCCACGCAGCCGGGCTCGGGGGCCGCCTGGCTCTGAGGCAGCCCCGGCTGCGGGGGTCCCCGGGGGTCTCTGGGGAGGGGGCGGCAATGGGGGCTGCCGGAGCTCTGTGCCCGGGGCTGGGCGCGGCTGCCGAGGGAGCGGAGCATGCAGGCTCCCCCCGTGCTGGGGCTTGCTCTGCCCGCCTCAGGGGCTGCATTGTCAGCCCGGAGCCGCGTGGGGATGGCCCGGGACCAGCAGGGCTGGCAGGGAAAGCGGCAATGGGGGCAGCAGAAACGGGCAGTGCCAGTGCTGGGGGTGCTCCCAAAGCCTGCAGATGTTGGGAGCATGAACAAGGGGGCCCAGGGATAGTCCAGGAGCCTGAAACAGGGAGCCCAGACAGTGCTGCCCATCCAGGACTCCTGGGGTGCCAGAGTGGTGAGGCCAGAGAAGGGGAGCTTCCTTGCTTGCCAGGAGCCCCAGCAGCCCAGAGAGGGGGTGTCGCCCTGAAAACTCAGCTTCTGAGCTTGCTAACATAGTTTTCTAAGGACTTTCCCAGGACAGTAACTGTAAACATAGATATGTGTACATTCTTTCTGTTACACGTCTTGTGATGGGCATCTCTCATGGCCAGTGCAGGGGGAAAGTGTTATCCTGACCATCCAATCCCTGGCCGTGGTCACAAGCCTATAAATCCTGGGAGGAAAAATAAACTCTGCTCTTCTTTCATCACACCTTGACCTGTGTCCGCGTGATCTATTGATCCTCAGCGGTAACATCTGGTGGCCTCGCCGTGTCTTGCACGTGTGTTACAGGGTACTGTCTAGCCTGTGGCTATGGATGGTTTTGGGCTTTCTCTTAGGGAGGGCCTGGTTCTGGAGATATGGCGTGCAGTGCATGATCAGAGAGGGACTGATGTGTCGTATGCTGACTTTCAGCAATTGTGTGAGTATGGCAGACTTGAGGGGTTTTTCCCTGTGGTTGAAGCGATTTTTTCGCAGTAGGCTTGGGAGGCTTTAGGCGATTCCCTGATCGAGGCTCTGCTGGTCGGTTATCAGCCCCAGGTGCTCCAGTTGCTGGGGATCTGGCAAAGGTGTGGCGGCATTCTGAGGTCGGGTCCCGAGGTCGGCTCCCCCGGGATCGCCGGGGCCCCCGGCGGGTTGAACGGAGCCGCCGCGGGACCGGTGGGCGTGACCCCACCTCAGCCGGCGCCCCGGCGGTGTAGGCCCGGGGCGGGGTTGGATCCCTGCCGGCAGGCTGTCAGGGGCGCCGCGGACCCGGGGGGTGTAGCCCCACCTGTTGTAGTGCATCTAAAAATCTTGGTACCTCCCAAGGGTAAAACTCACCTCTGGTTTGTGTAATGTTAGTTCCTACCTGAGAACCTTCTTTCCCCCCCCTTCCCATTGGCTGTGACCTCCCTGCATCCCCTAATCACCCCTGCCCCCTGGTATAAGAGATAAGACCCAGAGCATTTCGCTCTCTCTCTTGTCCCGGATGGACGACAGACAATAAACCCGGGATAATTCCAGCAAGTTTGAGCCTCCTGTGTCTAGATACTTTGAGTCCGTGTTGTATCCACTCCAGGACCCCCTCCGTGGCCTGTGCCCTGAGACGAGCAAGCTCTCACCACAGAGGGTGGGACAGAGGGGTCCCGTCGGGGAGAAGGATAGCAACACCCACCTCGGCCCGCGCCCCGGCGGTGGAAGCCCGGGGCGGGCTCGCCTCCTCCGTATGCTTTCCCGGCACAGACCGATGGGGGGGTGCTTGAACGGGGGGCCTGGGGGATGCCTCAGGGTCTGTCCCGTGTCCCTGCTGCGGCTGGGCCGTGCCCTGCCCCGTGGTGGGGGAACGGGCAGGGCCCGGGCTCCGCGCCGGCAGCCGCGCACGCTGTTCCAGTGCAGGAGCGGCCGGCACCGCTTCTTGGACCTTTCGCCCCTGAAGAAACGCTGTTAGGGGCGGTTCCGAGTGCTGCCCCCAGCGCGCCGGGAGCAGGCTGTGCTGAGCTGCCTCTAACCCCCCCCGCCTCAGGTTCCCAGGCATCACCCGAGCCTGCGGCTGGAGCCGGCCCTCCCCTGTCGCCTCCTGTGGCTGTGGCAGACCAAGGTCCTGAGCTGTTTACCACTGGCTCAGGTGGTGCTGCCGCGGGGGCGAAGCCGGTGGCCTTGACGGGCCAGGGGTCCCAGGCTGCTGGAGCCTCTTCGGCTGTCCTGTGGACTTTGTCCTCCTGTCAAATGACTGTGCAGCTGAGCGTATCAGGCATTCCATGTGCTTCCAAATGCTTTGGTCCGGTGGATGAGGGAATGAGTGCTCTTCTTGTGGCGTGCTTGAATGCCACTGCTCAAGGCATCATTGATCACCTAGGAGACGTTGATTCGGATTTCCTGGGGTGCATTTCTGCCATGAGTTCCACACTCACCCCTCCTGTTCCTATCCCTGCGGGACCTGGATTTGCTCACCTTGTGCCTTTTGAGTTTTATNCGGGCCTCACGCCGGCAGCCGCGCACGCTGTTCCCCTGCAGGAGCAGCCGGCTCCGCTTCTCGGACCTTTTGCCCCTGAAAAGACGCTGTTAGGGGCGGTTCTCAGCGCTGCCCCCCCGCTCCGGATCCGTGGGGCGTGGGGGCGGGTTCTGCGAGTGTTGCGGACGCCGGGCCGGATTCTGCCGACCCCACGCTGCCGGTTTTCCCTCCTTCGAGCCCGAGTTGTCCCCTGGCAGCAGAGGAGGACACTGCTCCAACTTCGCAGGCTGTGCCTTTACCGGCGCCCCGGTCCTCCCCCGCGCCGGGAGCGGGCTGTGCTGAGCTGCCTCCATCCCCCCCCGCCTCGGGTTCCCGGGCATCACCCGAGCCTGTGGCTGGAGCCGGCCCTCCCCCGCCACCTCCTGCGGCCGCGGCAGACCAATGTCCTGCGCGAGTTACCACTGGCTCGGGTGGTGCTGCCGCAGGGGAAAAGCCGGTGGCCTTGACGGGCCAGGGGTCCCAGGCTGCTGGAGCCTCTTCGGCTGGCCTGTGGACCTTGTCCTCTATTCAAATGACTGTGCAGCTGAGTGTATCAGGCATTCCATGTGATTCCGAATGCTTTGATCCGGTGGGTGAGGGCTTGAGTGCTCTTCTTGTGGCGTGGTTGGATGTCACTGCCCAAGGCACCATTGCTCACCTAGGGGACATCGATTCGGATTTCCTGGGGTGCATTTCTGCCACGGGTTCCACACTCCTGCCTCCTGTTCCTATCCCTGTGGGACCTGGATTTGCTCACCTTGTGCCTTTTGAGTTTTATGTTCGCAGAGCTGAGACCCAGCTGTGGGGAGATGGTGGCTTCGGGTTCCCTGGACCTCCCTGGGTCACTGGACTGCTGTTCTGACAGCCAGGGATCATCCTGAACGGGTCTGCACCCGGTCCATCCTTGGTGAGATGCTGTCAGAGACTAGCTTCCGTGGGTTTTGACACTGGCATGGATATCACAATTGTCAAGTTTGCTGATGGACCTGATGCTGACACATTCAACACAAAGAAGAAATTGAGACTGACTCTTCAGCATTTTCTGTTGTCTTCTCTCATGATAGACTAGTCACCCTCCGTGACTTGATGCAAGAACAGTTGGATCACAGTGATCTGGAGTTTCAGCCAGTCCCTGGGACATTCCTGTTTTCTGTATCAAGAAGAAGTCTGGGAAATGGAGATTGCTATAATACCTCCAGAAAGTACTGCTATGGTGGAAAGCATGGTGATGTTGCAGGCTAGCATGCCTTCACCTGCCATGCTTCCTGCCAATTGGCTAGTCCTCATCGTGGATCTGAAGGATTGTTTTTTATGATTCCTTTGCATCCTGATGACAGACCAAAATTTGTCTTTTTGGTGCCAGCTATCATTAATGCTGAGCCCACACAGAGATATCAATGGAGATTTTGCCCTAAGGCTTGTGAAAATTTGCCGGTATTTGCCGATGATATGGGGCTCTAGCCCTCTCTGGAGTTTGCAAGCAGTTTCCTGCTGCTCGTCTCTACAACCTCCCTGAAATTATTTGAGGGTCAAAATGATTTTGGGACAAACAGTCCTGCATTTGGAGGTGCAATTATTTTATTTTTTTGCATTCAGTGCAGACACTGCATGAATGGTGTCCAGATATTAATGGACTTTCACATGGTTGTGTCCTTATATGGACAGACCACAACACAACTGTCTCCCTTGTTTGGTCTGTTAAAGGGGGACTCTGATTTTAAAGTCACCTCTGACACTGACCCCAGAGGCACAGTAGATGTTGGAGGAGGTTCTGTGAGCAGTTTCTGCTCCTCAAGTTTATTACATTAATCTTTCCATTGATGACGCTGTTTTGTTTTTTTGGGTTTTTTTAGAGAGTCATGAGGCTGGATCAGCCCAATTGATAGAATTACGGACTGCTGTCATAGCATTTCATAAGTTTTCCCAGGCACCTTCCAATTTGGCCGTGGATTCTGCCTCCATGACCAAATTGAGAGTCATCCACAAGCAGGTGTTGATGTTGGACAACTGTGTCATTTATTTTTGAGTTTTGTTGTTTTTCTGGGGTTTTTTTGTGTTTTTTTGTAATAACGAAAGGGTGAGATATCACCCTGAAATTACAGCCTTCTGATTGTATGGAGTATTGTATTTTTCTATTATTTATTTTTTGGATTGTTTATAACGTTGCTAGTTTCTTTGTTCATTTTTCTTTCTCTTTTCTTTTTGTTAAACTAAAAAGGGTGAGATGTCACCCTGAAAACTCAGCTTCTGAGCTTGCTAACATAGTTTTCTGAGGACTTTCCCAGGACAGTAACTGTAAACATAGAGATGTGTACGTTCTTTCTGTTACATGTCTTGTGATGGGCATTTCTCATGGCCAGTGCAGTGAGAAAGTGTTATCCTGACCATCCAATCCCTGGCCATGGTAAAAAGCCTATAAATCCTGGGAGGAAAAATAAACTCTGCTCTTTCTTTAGCACACCTCAACCTGTGTCCGTGTGATCTATTGATCTTCAGCGGTAACAGGCCGGAACCATGATTTTACAGGGCCTTTCTTTTGTAAGGTTTTACCTATATGTGACAAGATTTCACTGATGGAAATGAAGAACTGAGGGCCTGGTAACACTCAAGTTAACATTTCATAGGAAATTCCATTGGGTATCGTTCTCTTGGCACAATCACAGCTTTTCATTAAGGTCTCTGGTAAATGAGGCAGTCTGTTCACTGAAGAGAGATTAACAATAGAGGTACTATTTGCACACAGAGCAGTAGTAGATGATTTCCCACTCTCCTGGCATCTAGATTTTGTGTGTAGAAATGGGGTAAAAAAGCTCACCAACCTCTGTCTTTTTTGCTGTTATCCCTTTGTTCTGTGTTTATGTGCAAAGAATTGAACTACTTGCAAACAGGCAAAAAAGACAGCTTTCATGAGTTGTAATTTAGCTCTGTTTCACTAGTAGTCAGGGTATATCTGTCATGATGAATTGCTCTCAGCCCTCAGAGGCAGGAAAATACATCAGGGAAACATCCATCCTGACTGTGCTGTATCATAGGTGACCTGATGATCTGTTCAGGAAGCCTTCGAAGCAGCTAAGTGGAATAGTCTTAAACTGCAAGTGCTGATTTTATTCAGCATGTTAATTTGTTGTGGGAAAATTGAGGAATCCAAAAGCAAAGTACTAGTATAAACATCTTGGGAAAAATACACAGTATCCAATTTTTCACTGAAAAGTAGTTAAGAACAGTCACTCATGTTCAGTAAGTAACAATAAGTAAAATGTTACAGAAAAACAGTCTACCATTAGAACACAACAATGGTATTCCTACTGCTCTTTTGTGCATCTTTAATTCTCTTTGAGCAAAATGTGTATGTATAGGCAGCATAAAATGTGTACCTCTTTTCAAAAAGTGTGTTTTCCATTGCTTTCTATAATGTGTCAGTGGTTTTTAACAAAGTTCTAGATGTCAGAGCAACTACAAGCAATTACTAGGCAGTACAGGGAGTGAAAGAGTAGTGCTGCAGTGAATGTCCAAGGCTGTTATGTTTAGCAGTCACCAAAGGCATGCAGCAAGCATGTAGTAGGAAACAGCTGTCTCTTAGATAAGGGTTAGTGACTGCATGTGCAAGTTCTTTAGGCAGGTACAGTGGCAAAGTGAAAACAGCTATCTTAGACTAGCCACATGCTAGATGGTAATTCTCCTGAGCTCCAGAGTTTGTTTCTTCTACCAACTTTCTGGATTAGTTTACTCTCCACTTCATCCTGCTGTATCAGATGAGTAACATGTTCTGTCAGAGTCCTGAGCTCAGTTAGGGAGTGTTAGTGCAACTGCAACAAGAATATGAACAACGTAAATTCAGGCTTACTGTGTTCAAGGGTGTTGTACATTGCCTGTGCACCAAAAGTTTAAATTTTGAATATGGGTCATTTTCAGATGAGCATTCACAGGTATCTAGTCTGGGTTAAAGTCCTCTACACCATTCTGGCTATGCAGGGAAACACACTAGTCGTCAGTAAAGACTTCTGTATTTGCTGCAAGTTATACCATTACTCTTGAAAGGGACAAGAACAATTCTTCCACTTCTATGGTGAAAACAGTTTTTATTTCTCATTCTCCATACAGTAACTATAAGCTGATCACAGATTACCTACTTTGGGAGAAATTCTCCAAAAACATTATGCAGTCTGGTGCTGAAGGCACAGTCCTGACAGTGAAGTTTCACTTGTCTCTGACAATTTATTCTTTCATTTTGGGTACACAGTTCCATCCTCAAGTCCCTGTTCTTCAGTACCTGTGTCACAGTCGAAAAAAAGCTTTTTTTCTGCGAGAAAACAGTATTATTCCGTGACAGGACACTTGTGTGAGTTACTACTCGGGATTAAGTAGAGGATCTGAACTCCTAAGTCACCTCTCGCCGGTAGGAGTGACAGCGAGCCTCCGCTAAACCCCGTTTAACCAGTAGATGGCAGAACTCGAATCTTTGTTTTTTGCGGAAACCTAAGTTCAATAAATGTTACTGCAATTTTCTGAAGACTCATTTAAAGAAAATTAAGCAAACTAGTGCTGAGACCAAAAGCAAATTATAACATGTTTATTAAAAATATGCCGACCACAGAATTCCCTTTAGAGGATTCACAATCATCTAATTAAAGAGGGACAATGCAGTATGCCCTCACTTAGCGGTCCTCTGTGAGCTTCTCAAACTCTGTTTTAGGCTAGTACTTCTGTTGCACACTGACAATTTGAACAGCTTGAAACAGTCATGACTAACACTGAAATCTTAGCATGAACTCCTTCATGAACCACCAAACATATTTTCCTGTACTCAGGACAAGCTGTAGGCCATAACCTGCAAGCTACCGTCTCACCAGTTCTTTAGTTCATTCACAGATGGCTTCCTGGAGTCAGGAACACTTTTACTGAGTGGTGAACTCATTTGAATGCATAAATTCATATGTTCTGTAGAACACAGAACGTTAAATGATGTACCCTTAGGTGCTGCTTATGGGGACAGCACTCCAGAGCAACTATCATTTTCATTGTCCTACAGAGAGCACACTGGCAGACACTTCTTTTTGATGACAACTACAAAGCTCTGGGTCCTCTAGGCTGACAGCTCAAATTTATTGCCTCCCTGTCAGACCTATCCTAGCCCAGTTTGAGACTGATTGCAGCAATCCTGTGATTGCAGCAATCCTGAGATTGCTGCAACTTCAGTGATCAGCTGAGCCTGCATGGAAGATTGCTACAACACTGAAGTCTGCTGCTGTATGTTAGGGCTTTATTGGCTGTAATGAGGTGAAAGCTACCTCTTGGGAATTCAAAGTCTTTGTAACTTCTTGATAGAATCAGAAAGAGTGAAATATGTTGGCAGACATAATAGTGAAGTCAGATAGGAATTGAACAAATATGATGTGCTCCCTGGACCTCCAGGACACTGGTGAATAACCTCAAAGAGCACTCCAGAAGGAATCTGATATTAGACAAAGCTTCTTGGACATGGATTTCATTAAGACAGAAAGGACAAAGGACTGACATATAGTTCCTCATCTGTTGTTTAATAATCTAATGAAAAACCCTAAAAGCACTCAAAGATGCACGTGACTGCAACATGAAAGGCACTGTTATTCCTATTTACATCCATCTTCACTGCAGGAACAGAAAATAATTTTTTTTAATCCTGATTTAGCACAATGCATGATTGTCCAAGAAAACTGTTGGATATCCTTGCAGACTGATCCTAAACCCGAGAAGCCATTTCAGTAAACATCTTCCTTACAAACAATGGGTCTGATTTAGTTCCCATCTTCCGACAGACCTGGGAGAAAGGCAAACCCACACATCTTTAGTCATGTGCTAAATAAGACACATTGTTGTAAACTCATCCCCAGTGAGAAGAATACTCAAATGCTCAAATGGAAATGGTGGAAACACCAGCAGTAACACCTGTAATTCAGACAGCATTGCCATAAACCATTGAATGAACAGCCTGTCTTCCAATCCCATGATAGTCTCTGTGCCCTTACAAAGAACCAGTAGAGGCTGAAGCATTTCTGCCACTCTTTCTGGGATATAGACTCTTCCCTTCTACTGTCAGCCTCAAGGGCCTTTATTCCCTACAGAACAGAAAGTACAAACCTTGCAGCTATTCACTGGGAAAAGTCAGAGCTGATGTATGGATTTTCTATTTCTGTTGCTGACCTGTTATTTTCACTAGTGTTTGCTTTTTGTCAAGAGATTTTAGGTCAATCAGATTTTGCAGCAATTGCTTTGGTAACTAGGTATAGAGGGTTTTATTCATGATTCAAAACTTAGTGATACACATGGGCCTTGTGAGTCTGTTCTGTTAGAAAAAACAACAATAAAACTAAAATTTTAAAGTTTTCTTTTTAAAGGAAGTGACCCAAAGAAGCATTACAGGACTTAATCCCACAAAGAGGAACATATTTGAAATGCTTTCATTACTATTAATTAAACATATACAAAAATAAAAACTTCTATCAAATAATGAAATATTAAAAACTCTAAGACGTTTCAGAAATTTTCTGGATTTTCAAACCATCAGTCATCTACTGTTCTGTGGTGTCATGTAGAAACATGGGCTTCTACCTTCAAGAGCCAAAAGCCAAACTACAAACTTAACTGTGTTCTGCCAAACTCAAAACTCTCTGGCCAAAGGTTTGAAAACAGTATTATGAATTAATGTCCATTTCCATGTTAACCATTTTGTAAAACAAATCATATGTTCTAAAAACCAATACAATTCTAAAAGAAGAACTTAGTGCAAGTGAATTATTCCATGTGGTATTTATGCTGAACAGAAAACAGGCCGACCTGTTTTCTGAAGAGATTTGAGCAATAACTCAGAAGTACTGTATGTTGTAGATTACAGGCTATTTAGAGGTGTCATTGCAGAGAATAGCAGGTCCTGAGAAGTCTTAACTGGTCTGGTGAAAACAGTTAAATGAAATCAGCAGGTATGCCAAAGCCAGGATTTCCATATTTAGTTAAAAAAATAAACCAAAAACCTACTCAAGGTATTTTGTTTGCTAGATCTTGGGGTCCTT